CACGCAGAACATCTCAAGATCCTCTAACACGCCTATCAGGCTGCCAGACGGTGTGTTTCTAATATGTGGAGATCAAGCTTGGGCAGGGATCCCTTCATGAATGGAAGGCGGCCCATGCACGCTAGGCCGATTGACTCTCTTAACACCCAATACATCAATGATTTTGCATTGATACCAAAATCATAGAGAGAGAAGGTTTGCTCATGCCTTTGCCAAGGATTGTGATGATAATGCAGATTTTTGGAGCCCAGTGCAGACAGTTTTCGGGTCCCTTGTCCCTGGTATTGGGACCGCACAAGCCTTGAGGACATTGAGGAAAATGGGATGTTGGCTTGCAAGACAAACTAATGCCACATCGCAAGCTTTGTCCAATCTTTTGCTAGATGTAGATTCAATTAGACATGCTACGATTCAAAATAGAGCTGCTATTGATTTTTTGTTGTTAGCGCAAGGACACGGTTGCGATGAATTTGAAGGGATGTGTTGTATGAATTTATCGGATCATTCTGTTTCTATACATGCACAAATTAAGAAGTTGCAAGATTTGACTACACATTTGAGGGTACAAGAAGGATTGGGAATAGATGGATGGTTGCAGTCCCTAGGCATAACGGGGTGGTTGAAAAATTTAGTACAGGCGGGGTTAGTCATTCTTTTTGTAATTTTGGCCATCATGGTTATCTTACCCTGTTTAATGCAATGTTTGCAGCGCACGGTAATGACAATGTTTGAAAACCACCGATTGTCTATGCTGACCATTAAAGAAAACCGGGGAAGTGTTGAGAGCCTGACAGAAGAATGGCTAAGAGAAAAAGGACATGATACTGTAAGATTAGTTAAAGTATGAGGCCTCAGGGTCAGTATGCCCCTGAAGAGAGAGTTACATAGATAACAGGATGCCGAAACTGCCAAAATATGCAGAACTGCAAGCTGAAGATAAAGAACTGGTAACTGCAAGGCCAACCACAAAGAACAATATGCATCAATGGTAGCAGACCAATAATGAGCTGAGTTTTTGCAATATGTATAAGCTAATTAAAAGCATTATAAGTTGTGCATAAGATTTCAATAAACTGAGACTTGCTGACCATGATAGCATGAGGCTTGTCTTCCACGGCTCCGGTAATCCCCGACCTCTGGCGACATGGGCACACTGCTGCCTCATGTCCAGCCTGCTGTCCATCAGTGCCCCAGCTCCCTTTCTGCCTGGCCGCTGTCCAGCCACTCTGGCCCCAGCCTGGAGCACTGCAGGCCTTGTTGTGGCCAAAGTGCAGGAGCCGGCACTTGGTCTTGTTCAACCTCACCTTGTTGGCTTTGGGCCCTGCATCCAGCCTGTCCAGCTCCCTGTGCAGAGCCCTCCTGCCCTCCAGCACATCCACACTCCCAGCCAGCTTGGTGTCAGAATGGTTCCATGAGGCCCTGCAGTGTCAAAATGGTCTCCACGGTTCCATGACACTCCGTGGAGTCACAGTGGATCCTTGGTGCTTTGGGCCCCAGTTGGATGATGATTTTGTGAACCCTGCCTTTTACCCTCCCCAGGATATCTCTGATTAGCTGATGCTTTGGACCCTCCCTTTGAACCACCTTCCTATTTCAACTGTTCCACACTCCCATTTTCTGGGTTTTTTTTACCCCCAAGATTCCCCAGAGCATTAAATCCCTTATTATCCCATGCAAAAGATCTCCCTCTCATCCTTGCCTCCTCAGAGCACAGACTGACAGCCAAAACCCGTAGAGTGAGTACTCTAGTCACAGCTGGGCTCATCCTGCTCCTGGGGTGTGACCCACTCCTGTGCAGGCCCAAGTGACAGAGCCAGATCAGCTCCAGCCTGACACGATATGTTATCCTTCACAGAAGCAGCCAGGTTAAGCTCTCATTCAGCTTTCACCTCTCTTCTTTTCTTTCTGCAGGACCTAACGACATCCTTAAACATTTCCTGAGTTGCCTGTCCCTGTGTCCAAAGCTGATGCACCCTCATCTTTTTCCTGAGTTCCTGCAAATGCTCCCTGCCCAGCCAGGCCAGGCATTTTCCTCACTAGCTCACTCTGGTGTTGGAGTCTGAGATACAGAGTGTGTGCCCTTGTTTCTAATACTTAGTTCTAGGATTCAAAGAAACACTGAATTTCATATAACATGAAATTCACGAGCATGTTTTCATGGTGATACATGAAAACAAATGTTAAAGCTAGACAGGAAAAGTATAAGTGTGTAAATTAGAAAGTTCCTTAAATCACTGGGTGAAAAAGTAGTTTAGAGAACAGAAGACAAGATGGAAGATTTAGGGTGTTGTCTCTTGTCCTTCTCCTTGCTTCTTTATGTTCTTCTCTTAAGGGTTTTTGGGTAGTAGTAAGTGGTTGGGTAAAAAATGCCGCAGGGCAGCGCACAGGTGTTGGGTCTTTGGGTCACTAAGAAAAATAATTTAGTTGGCATATGTTAATTGGGTAAATGGACATATAAAAGACCTGAAGAGGATCTTTGTTAGCCATTTTACCCTCTTCTATCATAGTGCACATAGCTCCTTGTACCTTGTAATGCTGATAAAAGAAGAATAAACAACTGAGACCAAACAAGAGAAAACTGCCTCTCTCTCGTCAATCTTCAGTTGAAAGGGAAAAAGAACCTAATCCAAAAGTCCCTAACGAGACACCCAACAGCAAGGGTTCTCTCAGCTGCAGATGACGATCGATGAGGACCTACAGAGGATTGAAAGATCCATCTTTCTTTTAGAGAAGTCACTGTCCTCACTCTCTGAGGTTGTCTTACAAAATAGATGTGGGCTAGATCTTCTGCTAATGCAGCAAGGAGGCCTCTGTGCCGCCCTGAAAGAAGAGTGTTGCTTTTATGCTGATCACACCGGAGCGGTCAGAGATTCTATGGCTGAACTGAGGGAAAGATTAGCCCAGAGAAAGAGAGATAGAGAGGCCCAACAAGGGTGGTTCGAATCGCTGTTTAACCAGTCTCCGTGGCTGACCAGCCTGGTGTCCACTCTGATCGGGCCAATCGTAATGATCTTACTGGTGCTAAACTTTGGACCATGTTTTAAATGAGCTTGTGTCTTTTGTCAAGAGCCAACTAGAGAGGGTCAACATCCTGTTTGTAGAAAGACAGCAGATGCTCCAAGAATGCACTTGGTCACCTCCTGTGCCTTATTGTTTGTTAATGAAACACTGCCGTGTCTATTTAATGAGTATTTAACCTTTTTACTTAAGTATAGTGCACCTTATATTTTTACTCAAGTCTATTATGTCTACTTTTAAAACTTTTCATAATATAGATAAATTAGATAAAATGATTAAAAACAGATATACATAAAATAACATTAGAACTTAGAAGATTATTACAACTCATATTCTAGCAAATTTAGTTAAGCATTAGGAGGGGGGGAAATGTGGTCAGCTAGGGCCTGGCGGTCGGAAGATATCGGGATGTAACGGAAAGATGGAGTCACCCCCCTCCTCCATAGTTTATGGTAATGACCCCCGTAATTAGCCAATAGCACCTAGCTGTGATGAAAGCAGATGGGAGTGACACTGTGAACCTAGGTTATAAAGTGTCAAATTCTCCAGCAATAAATGCCATTTTTGCCATCCATCACATTGGTGTTGGGTGCAAATGGACCGAGTGACCTGGGATTGGTCACTGTGCCATTCCTGAACCAAAGATAGAGCAATCTCTCTTTCCTGGAAGGTGTTCAGCTTTGAACAAACTAGTTTTGCTGAAGATGAGCCTAGGCAGTGGTGAGTTAGAGCATTTGATCAAACTCCCAGAGTATCCTCACATCTGTTTGGACACAATTTCTCTTTGTATTTTCATTGTGAATGCTTTCTCCTGCCCTGCTGCCTCCTGCTTGGAGTTGTACGCGCAGCAGAGTCCCAGAGTTTTCTCAGCAGGCCTGTGCAGCGAGTTCTGAGCCAACGTGTGGCTCTGCTGCCAGCCCAAATCTGCACTTTCCTTGCCCAGCCTGAGCGCAAGTGGGGCATGTGCTGGGCGTGGCTGGAGATTTTCATCCCCAAAAT